TTGAAAAAGTATTTTGACATCTTCTCATTCAGTTCCAAGTACCTTACCCTCGCTCTTAGTTGTAGGGATTTGAGTTTAAGTTTAGTCCACTCCGCTAGCTCTTCCTTGGATTTGCAGTAAAGTTCAACCAAAAAACTAGAGTTATTGTTTTGCTGTAGATTGAGATCGGCTATTTCTATTGCGTTCTTTAGCATTTCTTCCCTTTCCTTTCTTTTCGCTGCTAGCTTCCTTGACGCCTGAGCTACTTCCGTGCTTATCTCCTTGATGATTTTGGGGGATTCAGTGTAGATGTCCTCACTGCCGTGTTGTTGTGTGGTTTGTGATAGAATCTCTGCCAACTCTTTTCATAATTCTTGACTGGTTAAAAGGGCATTATTGAAACGGTAGAAACTTTTACCTAGGTATCCTGTCTTTGAAAATCTGAGGGTTAGTACTTTGGGTTTGTGGTCTAGGCTGCTATGGTATGGTGGGCTTCCTATCTTGCAATCCTGTAGGGTGCCTATTAAGGAATCCAATGCAAGGAAGAAGTCTATTATTGACAACGAGGTCCTACCTTGGGTTGTTCTTCTCACACATGAGAATTTCTTACTATCGGGGTAGAGGAGGCGAAAAGGGTCTACTAAAGTTTTCCTAGATATAAAGTGTGTAAGTTCGAGGCTGCTGGAGTGATGTGGAGGGTTGGAGGAATTTGAGATTTTGTCTAAGGAGAGGTGAGGGGGTATTAGTTGTTCAATTGAATGAAGTAAGGGTGTCTTTTCTTGCTGTGCTGTTGGGCCATAAACTCCGAAGATAGTTAGTTCTTCCTCTTTGTATTTGATGTCTAATCTCACCCATCTGCCGGTGGAGGTGTCCAGCCATATATTTTGTACTCTCATTAGGTTGCTCGCCATCGGGTTTTCGTGGAGGGGGATGGCTGTGCCTGCTGAGCCGTTTGGTGAGGCATGAGACCAATATGCGGCTTTGACAAATCTTTCTTTTTTTTTTCCTTTTTTTTTTTTTGTAATAAAAACAGGGCCTTATGGTCCTGGCTCCTTTCCATTCTGGGGAGCATCAGTCCGGTTCCTATTCCACCGGCAAGTCAGAATGAACATTACAACCAATAAACACACACGCTTCCTCCCGTCTGGCCGAAGGACCCCTGAACAACATTGATTACTCCAGACTTCTGGAGTATTGACTGTCAGCTTGCCATGCTTCCCTCTTTCCTCTCAGATCTGTTCACCAGATCTGCCAGACATACCCATAGCAGCAAGGAAAGCTTACCCCTTACCCAGGCTAACCCTTAAGACTCATACTTCGACTTTACCCCTGCGTCTCGTCATCCCCTTATCCTCCTCCTCCCCCATTATCGAAGTGGCATCCAATTCTAGACCCTAAACCCAAACCCTCGTCTCGAAAAGAAATTTCTGCGCCCACCAGACAGCCAGCTCATCCCCTCGAACCAGTTTCCCAGGGGTCCCTAACCTCCTTGCCACTATTGGCTCAAATGGACCCCAGTTCCCTTTTCTTTTTGCAGTATCCTAGTACCCTCCAGGCCATGTGGGTCGTCACTCCAACGCTGCCGGCCTATCTTGGCTTACTGCGTTCCCAACTGCAGTGGTCAGAACCCTTCTCCTCTCAACCGTCCTTCTTGCCTCACCCTCGGCTTCCTTTTTGACCCTAGCCTCCCTTTCTACCTTCAACTCCGATACTCCCTTACTGCCTGAGCAGCCTGTACTTCCCTGCTTATACCTGAGTTATGTCAGTGTTGCCAATGTAACCGATCATTTCTTAGCTCAGCCACGTTCCCCTCCACTAACCACTGTTTTGTGAACTTCTTTCTGGCCTTTTCCTGCAGTTCTGCATCTTCCGGTATCGATTTTTTAACTTTCCGCCATCTGCACAGGATTTCCGCTTGTATCATCATCCTCGTCTCCCCCCATACCTTCTCGTTAGAATTGGAAAGCTTCTCGATGGTTCTGTAACATCTTTCTTTCCAGATGACCCAAAGTGTGACCTTCCTTATCAAGCCGAACCATAGTCTTTCCGACTTCGTGAGCTGGTCAGGAATGTTAGTCCATAACAAAATTTGGGTAATCTGTTCAGGAAAGGGACTGCGAAAGAGAGAATCCCAGAGAGCAGAAGCCCGTGCCCAAAAGTTTGTCGCCTCCCTGCAGTGGACTAAGCAGTGTGTTATGTCCTCTTGTGACCCTACCGAACAGATTGAACACAAGTCCGAGCTAGTAGGGTCCTTCCTGCAGCAGCGCATATGGAGCCATTGGTTGACAGGTAACGCTACATATGTGATAAGCCACTGAAGGTTCGTGATTTTAACCGATCTGATCGTCTTAAATTTCTTCCACGGGATTTGTGTGATTTTGTCGGCCTCCTGGCCTATTAATTTTTCCCATCTAGCTTTGATTACCGGTTCTAGGTCTTTAGTCTTCAACAGTAACTTATAACCCAACCTGACCGTGTAGTTCTGGATGGGGATAGCCATCGGAATGTTTTTCCCCTTATCCGGCTTCCAGGCCCACTCTGCCGGGTCGAACTCCAGGTTGTGAACCGCCGTGTCCGGACGGTAGATAACCTTCGGCCATGAGCCCAAGACCCTCACTTCTCTGACCAGGAAGAAATCTAGCACTACCGTTTCCATGTTCATGTTTAGTATCTCGGGCATGCCCTGTTTCACTTGGGAGATTGGAAAAGAGGTAAAGACAGCTTGGGTGGCTGTTCCCGGTTGTAGGTGTGAAAACTGAAAGGCGTGTGACCATGTACTCTCTTGAACTTTAACCCCCCATTCGCCACATTTCCATGGCGACGCATCCCTCAAAATAATCTTCCATTCCTGAGGCACAAGGTTGATGATATGCTTAAGATTACAACCTCGTCTATGACAGCCTTTTAAACGCATACTCAATTCCTGCTCAGTCACCCACTCTTTCTTTTCTTCATTCCATAGGTGGCTAATCTTCCATATTCCGTTCTTTACCCATGATAGCCATTTGTGATCTAGGAACAGGGGCTCATCGCTTTCGTCTTTCAGCCATTCATTACCGAACAGTGTTTGTCTCAAGACCTCGTCTTTGGACTTGGGCCTGTTGGTCTTTGTTGGCATTATTTCCCTCCATATCCGTATCAGAGACAACTTTGACAAATCTAACTTTTCTAATTAGAGCTATTCGGATTCTATTTGTGCTCCTCGTTACCCGTGAGGTGAGTGTAGGCAATCTCGGCGGCGGTGAGCAACTGATCCCAATCATGCTGGTGGGGATGACAATACTTCCGCAGGATTCTTTGGAGAGTATCGTTCATCTTCTCGGACTGTGGGTGGAATGCAGTGCTGTACCTGAGCGTGGTTCCGTACGCATGGAAGAGTTGTTTCCAGAATTGGGAGAGGAATCGGGGGTCGTGATCACTGATAATATTCTCGGGGAGGCCGTGGTGTCGGGCGACATGGTCGAAGAAGAGAATGGCAATGTCTTTGGCATTGTGCGAGGTGGTACAAGGAATGAAATGAGCATGTTTGGTCAGGCGGCAAACAATGACGTAGATGCAATCATGCCCGCGGTCGGTCTTCGGAAGACCGCACACGAAGTCCATGGAAACGGACAGTCACTGCCATCGGTGTGTGGGGATGGGCAATGATTGGAGCTTACCGGGTTTGGCCCGGTTAGTCTGACATGTGGGGCACGAGCTGATGTAGGCTTTGACATCGGCAAGGATAGAAGGCCAATGGAAATATCGGGAGATGGTGTCAAAGGTTTTCTGAAAACCAAGGTGGCTAGCGGTCTTGGCGTTGTGGTGCTCGGCCAAGAGCTGGGTGCGGAGGCCACGGGCGTCAGGGATGTAGAGTCGGCGAGTGCCTTTGGTCTCGATGTCCAGGAGGTTGTCATGTAGGGAGTAGTCAGGGACGGGGTCGAGGTTGCGGAGTTTGTTGTAGATCGTGGAGAAGTCGGGGCAAGAGAGGTATCCTTGGGTGTAGCGATGGCAGAGCGATGGCAAGAGCTGGATGTGGGTCATGGTGGCATAGACTTTCTCGGGGGGTTTGTGATCGGGGCAGCGGGAGAGGGCATCGGCAACGCGGTTGCTCTTGCCAGGGGTGTGACAAATGGTAAATGTAAATTGGGCAAGGAAGTCTAGCCAGCGGGCTTGGCGAGGGGTGATGTCTTTCTTGGTCAAGATGGAGGAGACAACGGTGTTATCGGTACGGATGGTGAAGTATTGCCCGTCGAGGTACGGGCGCGAGACTTTGAGGGCGTAGACCACGGCGAGGAGCTCCTTCTCGTTGGACGGGTAGTTCATTTCTGCGGGAAGGAGTTTCTTGCTGGCGAATGCGATGGGGTGCTCGCCGGGTGGGCATTGGGAGTGAGCGGGGGAGTCCTTGATGGAGGGGGTTTCCGCGAGGTCGGGGGGAAAGTTCTGGGATAAGACGGCCCCGATGGCAAAGTCGGAGGCATCCGTGGTGACGAAGAAGTGGCGAGTGGGGTCGGCGATTTTGAGGACGGGGGCAGTGGTGATGAGCTCCTTGAGTTTGTCGAAGGCGGCTTGGCGGCGGTCTGTCCAAGCAAAGGGTTCGGCGGCATGGGTGAGCTCATGGAGAGGGTAGGAAACGTCGAAAAAGTTGCGGATAAAGGGGCGGTAGTAGTTGGCGAGTCCCGTGAAGGAGCGAAGTTGGGTTAAAGTGGTGGGAGCGGGGAACTCGACGAGGGCAGAGACCTTTTTGGGGTCCATGCGGATGCCGCCGGTGGAGACAATCTGACCAAGATATTCTATGCTAGAGGCAGCAAATGTGCATTTGCTGAGCTTGGCGTAGAATTTCTGGTCGCGAAGGATTGCGAAAACTTGGCGGAGATGATCAAGGTGGGACTCGAAGGTGGGGCTAAAAACAAGGATGTCGTCGAGGTAGATCACGACACAGACTTCGAGGAGGTCACGGAAGATGTGGTTCATGGTGGATTGGAATGTGGCGGGGGCGTTGGTGAGACCGAAAGGCATTACGAGAAACTCGTAGTGCCCGAAGCGGGAGCAGATGGCGGTTTTGTGGGTGTCCTCCTCACGGATGCGGATCTGGTGGAAGCCACTGCGGAGGTCGATCTTGGTGAAGTGTTTGGCCCCACGGAGGCGATCAAGAAGTTCGGATATCCGGGGAAGCGGATACTTGTTCTTGATCGTGATCTGGTTCAAGGCGCGGTAGTCCATGCACATGCGGAGTTCCGAGGTGCCGTTCTTCTTGACGAAGAGACAGCTGGTACCGAAGGGGGACTTCGAGGAGGTCGCGGAAGATGTGGTTCATGGTGGATTGGAATGTGGCGGGGGCGTTGGTGAGACCGAAAGGCATTACGAGAAAATCATAGTGCCCGAAGCGGGAGTAGAAGGCGTTTTTGTGGGTGTCCTCCACGCGGATGCGGATCTGGTGGAAGCCACTGCGGAGGTCGATCTTGGTGAAGTATTTGGCCCCACGGAGGCGATCAAGAAGTTCGGATATCCGGGGAAGCGGATACTTGTTCTTGATCGTGATCCGGTTCAAGGCGCGGTAGTCCGTGCACATGCGGAGTTCCGAGGTGCCGTTCTTCTTGACGAAGAGACAGCTGGTACCGAAGGGGGAGGAGCTAGGCTTAATGAATCCTTTTTCAAGGAGTTCATTGAGTTGGCGCTTCATTTCTTCAGCCTCGGGGACGGAGAGCTGGTATGGGGGGCGGCAAGGGGGGGAGTGGCCGGGCTCAAGATCGATGGTGTGGGAAACACCTCGGTCGGTGGGTAGTCCGACGGGCAAGGATTCGGGAAACACGTCTTTGAATTCGGATGGGAGTGGGGAGATCTGAGGGTCGGAGGGGGGGTCTTGGTCGGGTTTGTCCGTTGGAAGCAAGTCCTCGGGACAGTCGCGGTCAATGACAAGGCAATAGTAGGCGGAGTCGGGGTGCTCACGGGTTATGTGAAGAAATTGGTGAGGAGAGATGGGGGAAGGGGTGGAGGGAGGGAGAAGGTAGGGGATGTCAAGGGGTGGATCGGGAGGGGTGGAGAGGTGGACGAAAGAGGGGTGGAAGGTATAGGGCATGCAGCGGTCGAGCCAAGGAGTCCCCAGTACGATGTCGCACATGAGGTGCATGACATCGAAGGAGACCTGACTTAAAAGAGGGCCGACAGTCATTGTGGTCTCGCTGACTGTGCGGTCGACGATGATGGCTGAGTCCTTATCCCCTAGGCGGATGGTGATCTGGGAATCATAGTCGGTGGAAGAGAGGCCGGCTTTGCGGACACAGGCATCCGTGATGAAGTTGTCAGTGGCACCAATGTCGAGAAGGGCCTAGAACTTCGCCGTCGATGCTCCAAAGGAGACGGCGACGAACTTGAGCTGGAACTGGGCGGTCCCGGCACAAGCGGAGGAGATCATGGCGTTGAGGCGGCGCTCCTCGAGGCCTAATCTAACAAGCCGAGTGTGTCGGTCTTGTTCCTCAACGAGATCGGAGAAAGTGATGGCGGAGGGGTTGGGGAGGAGGGTAGTGGAACATGTGGCCGTGGGGTGCTCAGCCGACGGAATAGAGAACATTGTCGGGAGGAGGGCAGGCGAAGTAGACTTCGACGCCTGTGGGGTGTCCGGTGAGAAAGTTGTCACCGGCAGACGAATTGTTGATGCTAGGACATGGCTACAAGGGGCGGGGGGACAGTGTTCAAGTGGAGAAGGGCCCAGAGGCCGCAGTGGAGGAGGAGGAAGTGGATGTGGGAGGGCTGGATCCGGTGGGGCGGGAAGCCTGGTGGGTGGAGCGGCCGGCCTTGGGGCAATTGGTTTGCTGATGCCCCAGCTGGCGGCAACGGAAGCAACCGCTGTTGGCCTGGAGGACGGCGCGTTCGGCGGGGGTGAGCTTTTTGAGACGAGGGGGTTGGGGGGAGGAGGAAGGCTGGGAGGCCAGGCGTTGCCGTTCCATCCTCATGAGATGGACAGCCTGGAAGTCTTCCTCGGTGAATTAGGCTGGGTCAAGGGACTCGGGAGAGGAATCAAAGTCGTCATCGGAGGGGAGTGACGAGTCATCGGGGGCCATGTTGTGGAAAAACCGGGTGCGGTTGGGGGCGGCTGGTCGTTGAGAGGATGAGGCCTGGCCGACTTGGCCGGCGGAGAGGCTTTGGCCAGATTGGCCGGAGGAGAGGGGTTGGCTATTTTGGCCGGAAGAAGATGGTTGGCCGGTTTGGCCGACGGGGGTGGATTGGATGGATTGGCAGGAGGAGGAGGGGGGTGATGACGTCGTGACGACGGTGATGGCGGGTGTGTGGTTTTCGAGGGAGGTGACGCGATCGGATATGGAGGTCATGGAGGCCTCAATTCTGCGGAGCGAGGCAGAGAGTGCTTGAAACATGGAGAGGAGAGATGTGTTCTCCCCGGTGCCTGGCTGGTCGACAAGCTCGCGGTGGATATCCTCGACGGAATCCATGCGGAGCGAGCTCATGTTGATGCTTAAGGTGCCTTCGACCATGGGGAGGGACGAAGGTGGGGCAGAGGGAGAAGATGAAGTGGAGGGGACAACGAAGGTGACAGCAGCGGCGTAGATGGCAGCAGCGGCGGCGCGTTGGGAGGTCTTGGATTGGCGGGGTGGCATGTGGGAGTGGTTTCTGATCCCGATTTAGAAAAATGATGGTTGATTTAAATCGGGGTTAGAGGAAGTTGTCATGAGA